CCCTCCACCTCTCCTCCAGCTCCTCCCGCTCCTCCAGCACCTACAAGGCTGCTCCTTCCAGCATTTGCTTAAGTTCCTGCTCAGAAGAGAGTGCCTCTGCCCATTCAAACCAGTGATGAGCTGCCACACCGCCCCCTCCTCCCCTCCCCACTCAGGGCTTAAGCCGCTTTTCGTTGGGCTGTGAGAGTAATATTTTAAGTGACAGTTCTCAGAATACAATTTTAATTGAGATTCAATAGTCACTTCTCCGTCAGTAATCTTCCATGCTGATTACTTAAAACATATTTACCCAGCTCTATTATGTCACAGATTGGAATTCATTAGACATTTGCTAATCCGCCACAAACTTTTTTAAATGTGATTTGTTTAGCATGATTTACAAGGACAAACTGTTTAAAACCATGGGCCCTGTGCAGGGTGTGCATCCCAACGTGTCCGGTCTCCCGCTGCCACCACGGCCAAGGTTGTCGGTGAGCAGGCCACAGGCCTGAGGATGAAAAGGCCCCAGGATGCCGCAGGCGGGCAGTGCGCCTGTATTGGGCCGATGCAGCTCATACTGGGCAGCCTCCCAGGACACAGGGCAGGGCCGGGAGGGCAGAGAGAAGATCTGGAGGGGTGGACGGAAGCTACCCAGCACAGGCCGCCGACAGCCCAGCCCTGGACTCAGCTGTGCCTGCCAAGTCTAGGCATTTCCTACGGGCGCGGTGATGTGAGAGGGTCGGGAAGCACTGATAACCCGAGATCACTAATCACTGCAGCGCTGACTGACAAGAGCGCACGGAGGCACCTTTCTCCTGGGGCTGTGGGCTCTCAGAACACTGCCCTCCTCCACACCCCCCCATGCACGCATCCACACGCTCATACATGTACGCATGCACACACGTGTACACATGTGCGCTCACACACGCACACACACATGTGTGTGTGCACCAGCCACCTCCAGCTTAACTAACAAGGGGCATCCTTGGGTGGTCTGGCCCTGTGTCCTGGGCGGGTGTAGGGGTACCACTCACCTCTACTTGAGCAGCTGAGGGGCCAGAGAGCCATGGCTCCTTGACGCACTGCAGCGGTGAGCCAGGCTGGAAAATACAATGGATGCTTAGCGGGCGATGCTTCGGAAGCTTCTGCAGTGACCAGCCCACTCTGTAAAGATGGTTTTCTCAGCTGATTAGCCAAATGCACTCTGGACAGTGCTGAGACAGAACCCAGACTCAGTGCCAATGCCAGAAACTCCCTTCGCTCAGTACTGGGTCTCAGTCATTCAGTTCATATTTACTGGGTACTTACTATACTAGTAAGGCAGGTGTGGTGCTGGGTGCTGGGGATACTGTGATGGGTGGACAAGACAGGTAAGTTCCCTGTTGAATTTTGGAGTTTACAGACCAGGAAGGCAGACAGGTAAGTAATTAAGAAATTATACACTGAGTGGCCAGATTATTATGACCACCCCATCAGTACTTCATTGACACTTCCAAAAATACTGAATATAGAAAACTTCCTAAGCAAATACTCTCAAGGTTTTATTATTATTATTTGCATAACTAATTCACTTCATTGTACTGCTGGGGTGGACATAATAATCTGGCCACTCAGTGTAACTCACAGCGTCATGATCAATGTGCAGACAAGCACAGGGGCTGGGGGTGAAGGGCAGGGTAAAGGGTCTGGTTTGGTCTAGGTGTCGCAGAGGCTCCCTGGAATTGGTGGATCGGCTTGGTCGGGCAGGAGTGGAGGTGGGGAGAAGCCAGGGCAAACACAGAGCTTGTCGGAAGTCCTGGAGGACCAGCAAGCGTGGATTTGTAAGACAGAGGTTGAGTGTAGCTGGGACAGGGCGGGCAATGGGGGGGACAGAGTGGTAAGAGATAAGCTGGGCCAGTGGGGGGGGGGCAGCTCTTGCAAAGACTTGTTCTTGTGCTAAAAAATAAGAGAAGGTACGATGCAAATGGAGGAGAGTCCTGTTTGTCTCATCAGGCCCCGCCCAGCTAAATGTGGCCCCAGGGGCCAGGATGCACCTGGGCATGTGAGGGGGGGGCGGGGGATGGGGAGCTTCCCCCTGGGACTGATGCTCCTGCTGGGACCTGGGTCAGCGGGGCTGGGACCCTCAGGTAGGAGGTTGGTGAGAGCAGGGGCTGGCCAGGGAGGGATGGCCTGGCCACTGCTGGGAGCCCAGAGTAGAACTATGTGGAATCAGCACATTGGCAAAGGCTTTTAATGACAATGACTATAATGAAGAAGATAAAAAGAAAAAACGTCTCCTAGAACAGAAGTCAGCTGACTTTTTCTGTAAAGGGCAAAAGAGCAAATGTTTTATTTAGGCTTTGCTGGCCACATCGTATTTGCTGGAACTCCTCACCTCTGCACAACAAAAGCCATAGACAGCATGTAACTGACTGAGCATGGCCATGTTCTAAGAAAACTTTATTTACAAAAACAGGCAGCAGACTAGATTTGGCCCTCAGGCTGTAGGTAGCCAACACCTGCTCTCGAGGCGCAGTCCAACAGGGCAGCCAGTGGCCACGGGTGCTGAGTGAGCACTTGAACTGCGCTCTGGGTGTTAAATACACGCTGATTTTGAAAATGTAGAACAAATAAAAGAATGCTAACTTCCTCATTAACAATTGCTTGTGTCGACTGCATGTTGAAATCATATTTTGGATATGGCGGTTTACATAAAATATATTATCCAAATAGATTTCACCTGTTTCCTTTTACTTTTTAAAAAAATATGGCCACTGGAAAATTTACAATTACATTTATGGCTAGGATTATATTTCTAGTGGACAGCGCTGCTCAGAAATAACATTCTCTACAGATGAAATACAGGGCAAGTCTCTGGCCCTGAAGGCTCTCAGGTGAGAGATTTACCCTTACAGAGACACCGTAATGGAATTTAAACCTTCACAATAAAATAGTACCTGATTGGAATAGGTTTTTAAATTTACAACAGACCTTTGTTTTATTAGCTGGTTGTTTTGTCTGTATCTGTGTGCCTCAACGTGGGAGCTATGGAGCTCTACTTCCTCAAGATATTAATAGCTGCTGCTCAGGAAAGCGAGCATCTTCAGCTAAAACAGCAAAAGGGAGTCAGTCAATGCAGAATTAAACATTAACCCAGTTTCTCTCCTGCAGCAGAATTTCTCAACCCTTCTGAACTGACGATGCGTCTAGAGCTTTTGCAAGAGTGAGTGAGAGCAGGCAGCGCTTCCCCAGCTCCCGGGCCTCAGAAGCCTCTTCTGCAGGCCTCTGACTAGCACCCCTAGAAGGCAGTTTGAGAGCTGCTGGTCTGCGTGACGCTACGTAACCAGAGTGTGTGATTTTCCAAAAGTTCAACTCAATTGATGTGAGTCTTGGCACTCCATAAATAGAGCCACAGTCGGTCCAGCATGGATAGTGAGAAAACTGTCAGATTTCGAGGCACAAGGACCCAAGCCAAATTCCTGTTCCTTCCCTTTCCAGATATTCATTCATGTGAAAACACCTACTATGTGTCAGGGGTTGTTTTAGACTTTGAGAATAGAACGGTGAACAAAAACAAGTCCCAACCTCTTGGGGCTTTGTTGCTGGTACAGAAGACAAACAATAGGATGCCAGGTACAGCATAGGGAACAGACTCAGTGATATTGTATCAACTATGTATGGTGGCAGATGGGCACTACACTTACCAGGGGATCCCTCCGTGAGGTATATAAATGCCTAATCTCCATGTTGTACACCTGAAACTAATATAATATTGTATGCGAACTCTAATGGAAATATAAGAAGCCCTTACTCTGTCATTCTGGATGTGTCCCCGTGAACTTGGCTTTCTTCCACTTGGGTAGCATGTGACGGAAATCACCCCTCATCAGTTCACAGAGATCTTCCTTGTTCTTTCTTACAGCAGTATAACATTCCATTGTGCTGATGCGGCATCATTTATTCCAGCACTTTCTTATGTTTAGACATTTAAGTTATTTCCAGTATTTGCCACTTACAAACTATGCTGCAACACCAAAAAATACATAAAAATAAATTAAAAGTTAAATGGAAAAAGAGAAACAATAAATAAGACAAGGAGGTAAAATATATACAGTAGTTGGGTAGCGATCAATTTCAAGGAGAAAACACTAAACAGGGAAGAGGGGAATGCGCAGTCCAGTGGGGCCTGGGGGAGGAGGTGACTTTTGAGTAAAGACCTGAGCATTAGGCCATGGACAAGTCCTCATCTACACACAGATAAGCCCTTCCTGTGAAGGCTGTACCTGAAGCCCACGTGAGATGACGTGTTTGAAATTCCGGGCAGAGAACCCAGCACCTGCGAATACTCAGAAGTTCATGTCCCACCACCTTCTCTGCTTCCCTGAGTCCCAAAGAGGCATGTGCGCTCTGGGTTCTCCATGGGGAAGCATTTATCCAAAGCCGGTTCCCCACTAACCGTGGTGTCTCTCAGAGCCAACTCTCTCCTGGCCCGCGTCCTTGTTCGTAAGGAATGCTGGTCCTATTTCACTTCATGCCGAGTCTAAACCAATTAAGAAGGTGAAACTGCTTCAAAGCACAGCCATGACACATTTTTCAAACCCAGTCATCACAAATGAACCACTAGTGTGAGATTATCCATCCATCCATCCATCTGAAAAATATGTATTGAGCAGCTACTGTGCCCCAGGCCCTGTGCTAGATGCATGGGATATAGCAATGTTCAAAGAAGATGAGAGGACCTGCCTTCTTGGAGCTGACATCCTACTGGGGAGAGAGGAAGCATCCCATGGCCACAGCTAATAAGTAAATGCAGTAGTCTGTTAGAAGGTGATGAGAGCTAGGGAAAGAAGAAAAAGTAGAACTGTATTAGAGGGGTTGGTAGGAGAGATTGCACCTTGCAATGAGCAGATGCCATTCATGGCTGCTCCCCAAGGCCATGGTCGTGGGAGGGAGGAAGCTCTGGACGGGGGCCTTGGGAAGTCACCTCTTGACCCTGACCTGTGTCCCTCCCTTTCAGGCGCTGCAGCCTGAGTGACCAGACCATGGAGACCCTGCTTGGTGGCCTGCTGGCGTTTGGCATGGCGTTTGCCGTGGTCGACGCCTGTCCCAAGTACTGCGTCTGCCAGAACCTGTCTGAGTCGCTGGGGACCCTGTGCCCATCCAAGGGGCTGCTCTTCGTGCCCCCGGACATCGACCGGAGGACGGTGGAGCTGCGTCTGGGCGGCAACTTCATCATCCACATCGGCCGCCAGGACTTCGCCAACATGACGGGGCTGGTGGACCTGACCCTATCCAGGAACACCATCAGCCACATCCAGCCCTTCTCCTTCCTGGACCTCGAGAGCCTCCGCTCCCTGCACCTCGACAGCAACCGGCTGCCCAGCCTCGGGGAGGACACGCTGCGCGGCCTGGTCAACCTGCAGCACCTCATCGTGAACAACAACCAGCTGGGCGGCGTTGCCGACGAGGCCTTCGAGGACTTCCTGCTGACGCTGGAGGACCTGGACCTCTCCTACAACAACCTCCACGGCCTGCCCTGGGACTCCGTGCGCCGCATGGTCAACCTGCACCAGCTGAGCCTGGACCACAACCTGCTGGACCACATCGCCGAGGGCACCTTCGCCGACCTGCAGAAGCTGGCCCGCCTGGACCTCACCTCCAACCGGCTGCAGAAGCTGCCCCCGGACCCCATCTTCGCCCGCTCCCAGGCCTCCGTGCTGGCCGCCACGCCCTTCGCCCCACCCTTGTCCTTCAGTTTCGGGGGGAACCCCCTGCACTGCAATTGTGAGCTCCTCTGGCTGCGGAGGCTGGAGCGGGACGATGACCTGGAGACCTGTGGCTCCCCGGGGGGCCTCAAGGGCCGCTACTTCTGGCACGTGCGCGAGGAGGAGTTTGTGTGCGAGCCGCCTCTCATCACCCAGCACACGCACAGGCTGTTGGTTCTGGAGGGCCAGGCGGCCACACTCAAGTGCAAGGCCATTGGGGACCCCAGCCCCCTCATCCACTGGGTGGCCCCGGATGACCGCCTGGTGGGGAACTCCTCAAGGACCGCCGTGTACGACAACGGCACCCTGGACATCCTCATCACCACGTCTCAGGACAGCGGTGCCTTCACCTGCATCGCCGCCAATGCCGCCGGGGAGGCCACGGCCACGGTGGAGGTCTCCATCGTCCAGCTGCCACACCTCAGCAACAGCACCAGCCGCACGGCGCCCCCCAAGTCCCGCCTCTCGGACATCACTGGCTCCAGCAAGACCAGCCGGGGAGGGGCAGGCAGCGAGGGTGGGGAGCCTCCCAAGAGCCCCCCAGAACGAGCTGTGCTTGTGTCTGATGTGACCACCACCTCGGCCCTGGTCAAGTGGTCGGTCAGCAAGTCAGCGCCCCGGGTGAAGATGTATCAGCTGCAGTACAACTGCTCCGACGATGAGGTACTGATTTACAGGTGAGCCAGGGCTGCGCGAGGCAGGGAGGGGTCTGGCTGGGGGAGGAGGGGGTGATGGCAGGGCTTTGAGCTGTTCCCACCTGAAGCCCTCCTCCCCAAAGGTGCCTGAGGGGATCATAGGCAAACCGTGCCATTCGTGCAGGTAAGAAGAGATGAAAGAACATCATCTGCACGTTGAAGAAGAGAGGAACCCACATGGGCAGCCCCAGGAGATGTGTGTGTAGGAGGACCAGGATCCCTAGGGGGGTGGCAGGGGTAGGTGGTCATATGGCTGTGAGCCTCGGAACTTTCTAGTTTTAGCCACAGCTAGAGGACATGCAGGAACAATGAGGGGCCTCTTGGTGAACGATCTGACTGCTCCAAGGAGGAGCAGGTCTGGCCTCACCTGGACTCAGATGAAGTCGTGATGAAGACTTTGAGGTCAGGACGGGTAGAATTCATGGCCTGACCACTTGCTAGCTACGTAATTCTCCTGGGCTGCCTCAGCTTTCCTCATCTGGAAAATGGGGGTAATCCATACATAACTTAGTCTGGACACTTGGTTGCAGGTAATCGAACCCAAGTCAAACAGGCTTTATAAGAAAAAAGCAATGTGTTGGGTCATGTTGCTTCAAGCTCAGCTAGACCAAAGCCCCACAACCATCTGCATTCTCAGAGCTTTTTCCCTTCCCTAAGTTCCACTTCTGGGTTGGCTTCACCTGCAGGCAGCTGCTTTCCCTAAGCAGTAGAAGGATTCATGCCTTTTTCTCAGTTTGTCCCACTGAAGTCCTGGTGAGCTGTGATTGGCTAGAGCAGGTCACGTGACACCGAGATAATCCTGCCCACCTGTACTGACCTCTCTGGTGTCAGTCTCCTCACCTGGAAATCGAGACAATGATGTTGACCTTGTAAATTGGCTGTGAGAATCTAGGGGCTATTGCCCAGGCCTGGAACGAAGGCACAAAAAGGCTGCACAGAATTGCCTGAGCCATTCAGAGAAAGGGAGGAGCTTACAGCATGATGGACACAACCCAAGGGGCTGGAGATCTGGCTCCACAGGAGCTCCCTTCTCAGTCTGTGCCTCGTTTGTGCTACACATGAGGGACACGGCCTAGAATCTTACCACTCAAAGAATGCATGGTTTCTTTGAAATCCTGTGTTACCTTTTATGCATGGAAAATGGGCATTCTGGGGAGAAATCCTGTAGGCTTCACCTACAGCCAAGGGGTCCATGGGTCAAGCGGTCAAGTACCCTTGATCTAGCATTGAGGTTTCTTCCAGCTCTGACTCCTGAGTTGATGAGTCTCTGCCTGGGAAGGTGTGGGAGGGAAGCGGAGGTTCCCTTACCTGCCACATGCTTACCTGGAATTTCCTTTACCTGTTTTATCTGGAGAGCAGCTTCATTTCTAAGGATAGAGAGAAAGCATTAGGACAAACATACGCATATGTGCATGTGTACAAAGATATATAGACAGAGATATATAATTAAACTTAAATATGCATATGTGTATTTTTCTAATTATAAAAAGTAATAGTCTTTATAGCAAATTTGGAAAATAAGAGAAATGATAAAGAGGGAAATAAAAATGATCTGTAACCACTCAAAATTGACCCGAGGCCTTTGGCCTCTCCATTTTATTTCAATTCCAAACAATATTTATGATCATTCTAGCGTGTGCTTTTGTTTCTTAATTCCTCCACTCAACATTATAGCTGCTTAGTTCCCATGGTGTTCAAGTATTTTTCACTCGCTGCCCCATAATTTACTTAACCAATCTTCTATTGTTGGACATTTAAGTCATTTGCCATTTTTTAATATGGAAAGTAATGCTGCAATGACTATCTTTGTATATTAATTTATTTGGTGCAGCTTCGGTGATTTCCTTAGCATATTTTCCTAGGAATTGAATTACTGGCTCAACGAGTAAAGTATAACCTTTATATGTTGCATATGAATATTTATTTACCCTCTCGCCAGGGGAAGGTGACAGTGGCCACTTTGACCACTCCTTTGCCAGTTATTGAATATCTAATTACTTGCCTCTTTGCCAATTTTATAGGTGGAAAATGGAACTTGTTTTCATTTGCATTTCTTTGATAACTTCTGAGATTGACCTTTGAAAAATATGTACTATTTCTTCCCTTGTGCATTTATTATATGGTCTGACTTTGATAAAAAGTGTAAAGGTGACAGCTCCCAGCGCTGGGGCTTGCACGGGCCCGGGATGAGGGGGACTGAAGTCTGTGAGGCGGTGACGCTGCATCAAGGTGGCAACAAGCTGAGGGTCTCACAAACTCCGCGAGGGTCACAGAGGCGCTGGGGCAACACTCCTGCACTCACTCAAGGTGGGAATTCAACCTGCTTTTACTTGGTGATTGTCATCCTGGAGACACTCGGTTTATAAATATAAATAAAATGGAAGCATCAGCAGCCTCGGAATTAAAAAAAATGCTGAGTTCCTTTTAGGGCATCATGAGGATTAGAAGAGACACAGCATGGCATGCTCTCCAAATAGTGTGGACACATAGTAGGTGCTCAAGGAATACAAATTATGACTATTGTTGGTAGTAATAGTAACCATGGTAAGAGTGAGAGTAAGACCATTTCCGATCTCCAACCTGGGGAAGGAAATGGAAGAGGAAGGTGAGATACACAATTCAGTCTTTAAGAAGACAGGTTTCCAAAATTTTAGAGCAGAAGGTCAAGGTGCATATGTAGCCAGATAATAACAGTAACAGTCACTAGCCAACATCACTGCCACTTATATGCATATGATGTGTAGCCCTAGAGGCAATATTTCATTTAATTCTCCTGGACATACCAAGAAGTATGGAGGCCGAGAGAATTAGAAAACTCTCCGAGGTCACATAGCCAGAGAGAGGCAGGACTGACTTGAGCCCAGGCCTTCTGGCTTCAGCCCTGGTGGCACTGCCCTGACCATGAATCTGACTCCAGAGAAACAGGAGACTCAAAGAAAGAAACTGTGGATTTTTATTTAATTTTTAAATATATTTTTATTGATTTCAGAGAGGCAGAGAGAGAGAGAGAGAGAGAGAGAGAGAGAAACATCAATGATGAGAATCATTGATGGGCTGCCTCCTGCACACCCCCTACTGGGGGCATGTGCCCTGACTGGGAATCGAGGAATCGAACCTGTGACCTCTTGGTTCATGGGTTGATGCTCAACCACTGAGCCACACCAGCCCGGGCTGAAACTGAAGATTTTTAGAAAGAAGTGAACCCATGAGAAAGAAAAGACACCAGCGGCTGCACAGTGGCTCTGTGGTATGCTCAGACTTGGACAGGAAAGTGTACAAAAGAAGGGAAGGAAGGATTGTACGAAAAAGTGACTATTAAAGAGGGGCACACACTGTACAGAGAGAGCTAAAGGCGGCCAACAAAGACTTTTAATCCATGACCAGAGCAAGAAGAGAAAAATGACAAAGGTCTGCTGTTTGGGAAGGAAGTTGCAGGAGACTGGACAGGAGCCAGCAGGCAAAGCTGAGCAATTTCCAATTTGCCTCCACCCTCCCCAGCAAGCACAATAGCAACAATATCATCAGTCCTCACTTAACGTCATCTGCAGGTTCTGCGACTTTGAGCAATAGGACACATAACCAAGCCAATTTCCCCCTAGGCGAATGGATACACACAAGTTCCTCCCACATCCATCAACGTGATAGCGAAACGACATTATTACTGGAGGATCTACGTGGAGAGCTGACTGGCACCAGGCACTTACTCTTCTGGGGGCGTTATGCGTACTAACTCCTTTAGTTTTCTCAGACCCCGCCCCCCCCCGCCCCCGGAGACCAGGACTGCGCTTATCCCACATTTCACATGAGAAACTTGCTCCAGGTGTACACATGGGGTAAGCAGCAGAGACGGAATTCAAATCCAGGCAACTTGGGAAGGACAAGACCGACACTAGGGAGAGGGCACCAAGCCCAGCAGAGATGCATCACAAGGCAGACTGGTCTCAGGCCCCAGGGGACGCGTTCAGGACTAAAGGAAGCTGAATGACGTTCCCAAGCCCGGGGGAGTGGTCCTGAGACAGCAGGCATAGAAAGGGAAGTGCCTAAGATGGGGAATGGGCACAGACTCCACTTTCCACAGAACAGGCCCAGAAAACCAGGGCATGCAGGCTGGGCATGGGCATTCTGAATTCCAGGAAGAATTTGTCAGCAGCTGCTGTAAGCCCCTGGAAAAGAAGGCTGATTGTCGGGATCCCATGTGGGTTCACAGGGAGCAAATCCTGCCAAGTTATCGAGCTGTCCTCAGGGGACACTGTGGCCAGGAGTTCTCAACCTTTCAGTCTGCCTCCTTGTCATTCAGGAGGGTGGCCTGCTCAGTGACGTACCTTCTGGCTCTGTGATCCTCCGCGAGGCCCTGTCCCCACGCGTCTGCACAGGGAGGTGGGCCGGATGCTCTGGGTGGTAAGCACACTTGGAAAATGTCCTAGGAGTTTCCACTGGCGGTGACTCACGGCCATAAACGGAGCACATCCCCACTGCACGGGGCGGTTGACAAAATCTCACACTGTTTTTGGAATGAAATGGAGAAATGGAAAGGGGTGGTGGGCTTACAGCTGGCCAGAGAAGCAGACTGATCAATAAATGGACGTGAGCATGCCTTGTGCCTCAGGACCTGCCTCCATTCCCGTGCTGCTCAGTGTATTTCCTGTCGGCATGGATGACAGCACAGAGAAAGCGTATTCCTTGGTTCAAGGACGCAACTGCCTGAGTTCAAGGTGGAGGAAATCGGGCTTAACTGGAATTTTGTGTGGCCGGTTCAGAGTTTTAGTTGATCTCAAAGGCATTATGGCTACAAAGTAATGGAGCTGCGAAGAGACGCCTGTAGTGTTCAGTTGTGTTAACTAAGTAAAGTGCTCAGATCATGGGAGGGACGTTACCGTTCTGAGCACTGAGTCATCCCAGCAGGCTGTGATATGTTTCACACAGAAGACACCGTCTTAGGAGTCATCTTCCCAACTGCAGTGTACCCAGCGATCAGGTGATGA